AGGGGTAGGAAATGGGATGGAAGAAGGAGGAAGGAGGAGGGGTGGGATTGAGGCCTGTGGTCCCCCTGTCATTCCCACAGGGGAGACTGGGGGGCTTCGAGTGGTGGCTTGGTCATTGCCAGGTTGGGTACAGATGTCAGGAGGGTGTGGCAAAAGCCCTTGCCCCCTATGACCCCAGTTTGGGAACCTGGGGCACTTCCTGTGGTGGTTTGGTGGTTGTCACTGGGCTGGCTGCAGGTGTTGGGGGGGCATGGCCAAGGCTCCCAGCCCTCCCCTCTTTCTGGCCCATGGGACTTTCAGTCCTTCCAGGTGTTATAAGTGTTCTTTGGTGAAATGAGACTTTTACTAGTTAATAGCAAACTTTGTCTCTGGTTGTGGGTACTTTGTTTTTTCTTTCAGTTCTGTGTTGGATTATTTGCGTTCCCACCCCTTAAACTCTGCCCTGGAACTAATTTGTTGTCCTTTGCTTACTTCTAAAATGGGAGAACTTCCTGTGGAGACCAGTACTTGAGCTCTGTGGTTGAGCTAAATTCTTGCTTTGCTGCTGATTCCCTAGGGAAGGCTTTTTGTGTAGCTCAGGTTTTAATGGTTAACTTTATATGTACTTCCAGGTCTAGGGAAATCTGGTGCATCTGGGTTGTATAGAAACTCTGGTCTGGGCCTGAGTCTTTTCATCAAACTGTACGCCATGCAATTCTATATTTCTGACCAGTCTCCTCTGAGTGTTCCTGTGCTGATTGGGGGGGCAGATCAGCTATCCTTGCTGTGCCCCAGCACTCCCCTGGTGTTATGTCTTCTTAGTAGATAATTCCTTTTATCAATATTAAATATTCTTTTTGATTCCCTCAAATTTTTACCCCAAATCTTGTTTTGTCTGATTGATAGTAATATTGATCATTATGCTATAGAATCATTATGTTAGTATTTGGCAGTTTTTTTTTTTTTTTTTTTTTTTAACACATTCCTTTATTTTCAACTATTTTCTATTTACTTTTCTTTGGATTTTATTTTTACAAACATGACGTATCTGTCTTTTAATAGATAAAACTGCTCACATTTATTGTAAATATGGATAGGTTTTGATTGAATTTTTTCTGTTTTTTATTTACCAAGATATTTTTTTCTAAAGCTTTCTTGCCTTCTGTTGTTTAGGTTGTGTTTTCCAACATTTTCCCATTTATGCTTCGATAGTTATGTATTCATCTATTATTTTAGTTTTAGCCTTTGTCTAGAATATCTATGGCCTATGCTTCTTAACAAGGCAAGATATTTAATATGCATCTATTCCCTTTTATACTGTTTTTTCTTCTCCCCCAACTAATTCCCATGTTGACATCTTGTGGAATTTTATTTACAGATTGTTTATTTAACACACATACACATACACAACTCAATTTAGCAATATTTTTTAAATGATTACTTTGTTTACCACGTTTCTTGTTAATTACTTCCTCACAGATTTAGTTTTCTTTTTGCCAAAGTAAATCATCTAATAATTCTTTCAAAGAAAGTGGGCATACACTTTCTGAGGTCTTATATGTTTGAAATGCCTTTAATTGTGAAAGAAGCTGGATGGCTGAATTTATTCCACTGACCCTAGCAAGATCTAGACCTGCATCTCTTCCTTCTTACCCTTCTGCTAAACTCAAATTGACTAATAGACGTTAAAACCTTAGCTCCATTCTTGCAGTCCCAGAGTCCTGTCCCATGACTAAGGCAGCCTAAATTTCCCATATACTGTGCAAACTGGAACAGTGAACAACTTTCAGAATATAGCAGAACACTGACTGACCTTCATCAGTTTCATGTATAGATTCTTTAGGCTACCGCTCTTTTGAATATTTAGTTTTCTTGTCTCATGACATCCAGGATTGATGATGAGAAGTCTGAGTTCTGCAATGGTCAATTCTATATTCTGGGGTTGGCACATTCTGCTGCAGCCTTTGCAACTTCCTGCTAGGGCTGTGGCTTACTGCTGGGGTTTCCCATGTCCTTTTTTTTTTTAGGAATAAGAATAATTTCTGTTTCACCAAAAGCCCTTCTTCTGTTTTTCACAAATCCCAATATACATATTAATTTCTTTAAAAATATAGCTTTAAAAAAAATCATTCATAATGACTTTGTGTCAAAAGAAGAGATTTCAGCATGTGCTCAAGTTGAAACATGACATTTTTATTTTTGTTTGTTTGTTTGGATGGGGCCATGTGCAACTATATCCGTGGGGCGTAGCATTGGATGTCAGAGGAAGACTTTTGTTTTTACTTTATACATTTCCTTATTTGAATTTCTGCTTCTTAGTTTCCTTTTGATTCAAGGTAATGGAGCACATGATGTGTTGGATACCTTTCTTTCTCCCATCCCAATTCACCTGCCAGCTTTCTCCACCTGCTGTGGTGCCATGTATGTGCTGCTTACCTGTGCGGACAGAATTAAGGGCTCCTAGTCCTCTACTTTCCAGTTGGCTTTGCCCAGCGGGAGGCACCAACAGATGATCAAACAGTGGGAGGAGAGTGAGGCTGGGGTGTTTACACCTGACCTTCCTGCTCTCCTCCCCCCATCCATACCTGATCACCTTGTTTTGGCTCCGCCCCCCCCTCCTGAAGACAACAGCTGCCAGGAGGCCCTCTGCATGCAGTGACACTTACTTCCCGTTCTCAATCCTTCTGGCCTGGGAGTTGCACTGGCTCCCAAGGGTATAGCGTGGACATCCATATTCCATTGCTGCCTTCTCTACACCTTGCCCACACCTTTCTAATTAGTCCCTTGATTAAATGTTCCTCAAATTACTCGGCTTCTGTATCATTTCTTTTTGCCCTGGACCCTGACCAATACAAAAACAAAACAAACAAAACACCCAAGTGATAAAGAATATAGGTAAACTAATTACATAGCTTGGTCTTTTTGCTGTTTCATAACAAAATAAAATATTAGAAAGAATATAGGTGAATAAAATTTATTTTAGTTAAAGGAAATAAGCCACAGGGGCAAAGCAACAAACGTTTTATAAACACGAACTTAAAGCTGACGTTTCTCTCCCTTTCGCTGTGCGTTTTGCTGCTGCGTTTCTGACTGTAGAGGGAAAGCAGCCACGCATGAGGTCTCGCCGAGGCATGTCTTTATGCAGCACGGTGGGATCATGCTGCAGAGATTCATAGACTCTCAGGGCGGGAAGGGGCCGTGGGGATACCTAGTGCAGCGATAAACAGCACAAAGACTGCACAATTTGTGATACAGCCCCAGATTTAATTTGTCTGGCAAAGATTTAAAAACCACCCCCACGCTGCTACTTATTCAGCGTACAAAAAAAAAAAAAAAAAAAAAAAATTAGCGTGGCTAAAATGTAGTACTAATTTTCTCGCTGGCATTTCAGAGAGTAGCTAACAATGACAACAGGTAACATTCAGGAACACTTGCTGTGTGTCAGAGATTGTGCTCAAAGCTTTCCATGCTTCATTTCACTCAACCCCCACCTGAGCTCTCTGTAGTGGATATGATCGCTATTCCGATTTTACTGAGAGGAAAATAAGGCAAAGAAAAATGAAGAGACTTGCCCATCATTACAAGGCCATTAAGTGATACAGCCAGGATTCAAAACTGAGCATTTTGACTCCAAAACCCCTGTTCTTATCCACTTATCCATTGTAACATCTATGCAGAAATATAGGGTATAGGTGTATATATAATACAGAAATACTGCTTTGTGTTTAACAATGTACTGTATATGTTTTTCCACATAATTAAATACACCATAATGTCACTTTAAATGACTGTATAATATTCTGTTGTATCAATATAGCAGTTTGTTTATTCACTTTGATTGCTAGATATTAATTTGCTCTGCTATTTTCCCCTCATTAATTCTTTCCCAATTCTGAATCCTCTCATAATCTCTGACTCTAATATTTCCTTAAGCTTCATATCCCCATCTGTAAAATGATGATGATAATAATAATGATAATACTTCCTTCTTTGAATGATTAAATATATATACTTTTAGCTATTAAGATTATTTATTATAGTCATTATTATTATTCAATAAAATGTTAAATGTTGCTGTTGGGGAGTGAAGCTCTAGATGACTCTGATTTTCTCCATTTTGCTTACTGTTATATAATTTGTAATATTTAAATGTATTGTCTAATAAGGAAAATGAGTTGAAGTTTTTTAAAAAACAAACTATTCAATTAAAGATATAAAAGTTAAAATAAACTTTAGTTCTTCTCTCTGACAAATAGCTTTATTGATCAACAACCGTCACCAGTCTAGGCTAAATTCATGGAGTTTTTCTTTACTGAACAGTTCTTTCCTGCATTGTTTTACCACTTAATATCTCACACTCTCTGTGCAATCAGGAAATGACTCCCAGGACACTTATCAATCCTTCCTCTTAAATAAATATACACAAGCCTCCCTCTCATCGCTCTGTATTTATTTCTGTTGCACATGCTTCTGTTAGAAAGACAGTTCATTACGGGTCTTAGCAAATTCACAGGCACTCCTTAGGAATGCTGGAAAGGGGTTCTTGTCTTTGTTATAGGAGTGTTGCCATATTATCAGCTCCTCATCTTTCTGTGTCATCTTCTGACAACCTTTGTGAGAGTTTGATTTGATATCTTAATTCCAGTGAGACTCATGCACTGGTGCATTTATTCCTGGGCTGCAAGCAGGCCTGAAACTGTCGTGTGTTGATGTTTTACTCAACAAGGAAATAACCAGTGAAATGCGTCATTAAAATGAATTATTATTTCACTCATAAAAAGGAATCATAGGCATACATATCAGAACTTAGCCCTTACTCTTTATATTCCAAAATGTAATTGTTTTCTCCATGAATGATCTCATTTCAAATGACTTAGCAAAATAATATATGTGTGTGTATGTGTGTGTAAGAGAGAGAAACAAATTGCATTTAAGCCAAAACAACTTTGAACATATTTCATCTACTAAAAGAAAGGTTACTGATTTGACATAAATGTTAATGAAAGAATATGACAAAATTCTCAGGATTTTAAAAATTTTATTTAAAATGTTAGCTATCACAACACATCATACAATTAAATGAATACCTTAGAACCACATTAAAACTTTAAAAAACATCTCTATATTGTCACAAAACATGAAACATGCTGCAGCGATACAAACATAGTTTGATACCAAAATCTCAGTACATTTTCATCATGAAAACAAATAGGGAAAGCATAGGACTGTACAGAAGTTTCCTTCCCTTTCAGCAGAGCTGATGTGACTACTTCAAAGCAATAACATCTTTCTTTGGAGGCCATATCATTGACAGGTTTTTACAATTTCATTGAATACTATGCCTTGTTGAGAAATTGCCACTAATTTCTACCTCTGAGGGAGTCTTCATATTAGAATTGTAGCACATGTTTACAACACATATGGGCACAATATGAAAAACACTTTTTTTGAATATTCAACTCAAAACAACAATTGTTTTTAAATAAATAATTATTCCCCATAGTACTTGTCTTATTTTACCTTTCCTTGCCCACTGACACAACTGAAGCTGAATAAATCATACGTTAGTTTATTTACGTCTTCTTTCATAACTCTGCATTGCACTCCTTTCATAAGCTGCTGAAAACAAAGAGGAGGTAAAGTGATTTTTAAGAAGATTCACTGAGCGAGTTAAGCAAAGTTCAAGGCATGCAGTTTTAAATTCATAATGACTTTTTCCCTCCATCGAAGTATTTCTAAAAATTTTATTTCTACATCTTCCAGTCCTGCCTCAGTCTCTACCTTGACTGAAAGTGATCTAATCACAGAACTCTTGTGCTGTCATCATCGTATACTTGGTGTCCCAAAAGCATATAGCCACACTGTATTGCAAAGTTGATTCTCAGCAGCTTTCTCAAGCAGTGGCAGTCACCCGTGGTGGATTAGAGAAAGGACAGTGCCTAAAGTAACCAGGAATAATAGCAGGATAAAAGCAAAACATGGGACTTTTATTCTAGGATAGGGCCAACAAAGTATAGGCTGTAGGCCAGATCTAGCCCAACATTTGTTCTTGTAAATACAATGTTTCTGGAACGCAGATACATCCATTCATTTATGTTCTAAATGAACATATGTTCATTATGTTCTGCTTTGGCCTTCAAATGGCGAATGTGAGTGCTACAGAGACAACATGACTCACAAAGCCCAAAATATTTATGATCTGGTTCTCTTCAGAAAAAGCTTGCCGATCTCTGTTCTAGGAGCATCTAGTGGTTTGAGGGTCTCTTCCTTTCTTGTGGATACCTCCCAGGATGGGTTGTCCTTGAGACTAAAAACAGCCTCATTCTCTGTATGTAAGTCAGTTGTGCCTCCTAAATGCAACACTGTTTAACTTACCTCCTAGCACTCTAACGGCCTGGGAAAGATTAACTACTGCTTCCAAAGGTACTTAACATATAACTAGCAAGTAGTTTAAGTATTTTGTCTGGACAAAAAAATTATATTATATATAATTTCAAAGTGATCTAACCAAAAAAGGGTAAGAGGGTCTGTTGTAATCAAAATACGTAAGGATATTTTTCATTATCTTAGCCAATACTTTATACACTTAGATTTATGTTTTAGTGAAACTACTGTGCTTTTTGAAATTCAGTATGCCCTGTATAAAAGAATGAATTTAAATAGAAACAGTAGAAAGATCTGTGAAAGATCTGTAGGAATCATAGGTGCTTCTTTCTAAACAATTTCCTCAGTGAAAAGAATTTCCCGCATTATCACTCCCCCTTTGTACACTGATCTTCAACATACAACTATCCCTTAAGGAAGGTGTGCAATAAGCTGAGTGTTTTGGAACAGTCTGAGCCCCAAACTGGACAGTTCTGAAGGAAGGAAACAGTTCATTTTTCTTTCTGGTTTGTTTAAATTAGTAGGATGGCTAGCACAAGTTCAGTCCCTGACAAGCTTCAGGTAACATGACTTTGTTTCTAAGAGAAGTAAGATGAATGTTAATGTAAACTAACTAAAGACAGATTAGTGATTCAGCTGGAACATAGTGTCCTCTTTCACATGGAAGCAGAGTTTCTTACCTGGTCCTTGAGCCCTCTGAAACCATATGGAAACTTGTGTGTGTAGGTGCTGATGAGGGCTTCTAGACTTATCAGATTGGCAGAGGGGTCTGGGACCATGAAAGGGTTAGGATCAGACGGCTGTAGAGTAAGACCGTGATAACTGTCTCAACTGAGTATATGAAAAGATCCCTGATTGATTATGGATTACATTTTTGCCTTTTTGTTCTTTTATGTTTTCTTACCTAAAATGGAGGAACAAAGATTTAAATATAAATTGACTTTGATTTATTACAGTAATTCTATTTATTATTGCCTGTGTTACCTATAACCTTAAGTACATTTAATAGCATTCAATCTGTTCTAAATTGCATACTATCTATATTACTCGTAAAGTTGAGCATGTTCTGAAACCTATATCAATGCTGGAGATGGAAAGTTGATGGCTAATATGATTATCAAGAAAATCACAGTTATGTGAGGACTAGTATGTACTGATACAAATAATAGCCACTGGGGTTTAAATTTACATTTCATTTCCAAAAAGTGGAAGACAATACATACTAATAAAACAATTGCAAGTTTTTCATTAGACACACTGATAAGTTCTCTAAAATTTATACTTACTTAGCCTCAAAATCACTGGTAAGGAAATACAAAAGAAGTATCTAAATTTGGAAAGTGGAGAACCAATAAAAATTCTAGGATGATTATTTTTTCATAAATCCAGATAATTAAGAGTTAAGCCAACATATTTTAGTTATAGATTTTCTAGAAACTATAAATATATAAATAAATAAGATACAGCTGCTGATTACTTTCTAATTAATTAGATGATTACTATTTTAATTCTATTTTCACTGCAGGAAATATAAAGAGAATGTGACTAGCTTTTCCAAGGAGACTAAGCTAAGGCCTGAATGTACTGAACAAAAAGTCAGTTTCTGTGAAAATGATGTAGGGGTTATTTAACCTTGAAAACAGTGTGATGATTGAGTTAAGAAATAAGGGTTTTGAGATACATGTATGTGACATTTACATACAGGATGGAAACTTAAAAGAATAAAGACAATACGCAGCCTTTATATCAAGTGAAAGAGTTGTTCAGAATTAAAATGGATTAAGAGAGTTGTGGCATCCCTTCTCTCTAAGGTTTTTAGAGCCAGAACTGATATATGATACTCTAGGATGATTTCAGTGTGTTTTGTTTGTTTGTTTGTTTTCTGAAGGCACTGGAGTGGACCATATCACTCTCATCCTTTCCAATATCTATCAGGATGTTTAGATTTTGAGCTTCTTTAACTTCATAAAGAGCAAGTGATTTGTATGAAGAATTTGTTTATTCATTTATTTTAGTGTTGAAGGATTGCCAGATGTAATGTCTTGTAAAACTTTCAATTTACTTTGGCAACAAGCAAAAATCCATCTCATCCCTCCCTGTACCTCCCTCTGCACCCTCCCCACCCTTAGTTCACTAGGGTTGCACATGGCTTATTTAACAGATCTATGGGAAAGAGTACCAGAGGTTGGGTAATGATTAAATGGGGCAGACACTGGAAAGCCTGGTGGTTTGAGAAAAATAGACTGATATTGCGGTGATATTAACTTAATCAGCTATAAATCCATTCTTGATTACAAGTACTGAAATTAGATTTTTTTTACAATAAATACTTATTTTAATTCTACTATTCCTTTTTAATACTTTGAAAACTATGCCTTAGGAAAAAATAATAAAAGTAGATTTGAGATGCTGTCTATTTTTAGTCATGATTTTATACATACCAGAATTTAAAGCTCTTTTGCCCATTAGTCCAACAAAGGAATCTGTTTTATGCCCTGGAAAAATACATTTAGGGGTATTTTAATATGTATGTCTTTGAGGAAATAAACTGTTGTTACAGTACAAAATAAAGTAAGCTTCTGGATATATTCCTACATAATAAGTATATTTCTAGTTCAAGTTTTGGAGAGCCTGAGGAAATGAAGATTCCTTATAAGTCTTATGAATTACACTTAAACAATACAATGAAAGCACTTTTCTCAATTCTATATCTAAATATGAGCAAGAAACCTTTATTAATATATATTTTATCTGTTATATAAAGTTTTAAATATTGTTATTTGAGCTAACTTCGATTTTTAGGGAGTCAATTTCACATTTGTGTATGTGAGAGAAATATCCAAGCTTATTTACTTCTGTTACTGAATATGTTGTATTTCTCAGCAAGTGATCCTTAGTTGAGTCAGATCCTTATCCTTAATTACTGTAATCTTCTAAAAGGTCACTATTTCTATTAGGTTAAAAAAAATACTTCTTTTTGAAAAGTGCATTAGCTTTGGTATTAATAGAGTACATTTATTTTATTACATGGAATTTTGCTATATATAATTCCTTTGAAAGTCAAATACTTAGAAAGTAAATATGAATAAGATTTATTTATTTTCAAGGATGAAACCTTTGGGAAAGGTTATTACTATAATGCTAGTGGGAGAATTTCTCTCGGTTTTTTACTGTATTAGTTGAGAATAGAGCAGCTACCTTAATGTGGCCTACTCTGCCACCCAGTGAACCAGATCCAAAGCAAGTCACATGAGAGGACAATATAATTAAGCTGAAGCACTGGGGCTTCCTGTCAATTCCGGTTCCATTAACTGAAAACGTGGGATCTAATGACTCTCGAGTGTCACAATTCTGCCATCTTCACTGCCCTAAGAAGTAATTTCACTTTGCTTTGATAGATTGAGGTTTCCCATTCAATCATGGGACCAAAAAACTGCATCTCTATTCATCTTTACATTTAGTATTGATTCTCTACTCAGATATTCACGTACTCCACTTAATTGGCTGCCGGATGGCCCTAATAAATGACGTCATCATGGGACCTAGCATACTTAGATGAGTAGGAAGGTGTCTACAAATGCTTCTACATTTTTGCAGTGAAAGTGGGTATGGGGTGGTGGTGGAAAGGAATGTATGTGATAAGTTTCTAATCCTAGGATTGAAATTCTCATCTAAAACTGTTTACCAAGTTAACTAAGAAAAGTTGAAAACCTTTTTCTTTTTCACTGTAATGCATCTTTTTGGTAAGTATACAATGTCTAAACATCAGAGGTTTAAACAATCATATTCTGGATGTAATATGTCTCCATTCTTACATTGTCTTAATTACAAACATGAAATCCTAAGTTATGACAGAAAATAAGGTAAAAAAAGTGGAATTCAGTATAATTTACATTTGCATTTGATAAATGTCAAAACAATTTTGAACTTACTTTTGTGAGAGATCTGGCCATGTCCTTGAAGAAAGAAAGATAAAATTAGTAAATGCATATAGATTTGTTTTAAATAAGATACATCATACCTTTTAAGGAAAATTGTACAATAAATTGATTTAAAAGTATGTAACATTTTCCATTTATGTACTATACGGAGAAATATAGCAGAACCATAAAAGCTAACTAAATTATTAATAATAAAAACAAAACATTTTAACAAATAAAAAGAATATTTATTAAGTGTCTTTCATGGGCCACAGAAGCCGGTACAGGGATCTGAACCCTTCACTCTCCTGTTATCAACACCGCACTCTACCTGAGGTCTATTATTAACTGTAAGGCTATATACCACCTCCCATCTTTAAGGCTGGCCACCCATTTAACTAGAAAGAGACATGCAAATCCATCTCTTTATTAAACAGGCATAATCAAGATCTTGTGTTTCAGCCCATAAAAGATTTTCTTCTTTCCTACATGTTTATTCACAGTAGTAAAATAAAGATTTATAGGAATGTTTACCATAAAGAGCCTTTAACAGGGCCACTTGTTTTTCAATTGAGGAATCTGATAAGAGAGGAATTGACATTAACTGTTTATTTACACGTTCCACTGATGGTGCTATGAATTCAAGGAAACTGAATATTTCTATCAAGGGACTTGGGGCAGCCAAATCTAATCTAACCCCAGGGAATGCTATACAATAGCTTCCCCTTGCACTCGACCATTCAGAGTACCAGCCCTGGAGGCCCGTGCCTTTCCCTTTGTCAGTTTGGATCTTTAGTCAAGGGAGTGCTTAGCTAGAGTTGATTCTGTTCTTGATGGTTTGGGCCATTAATACAGTTAGGCTTGCAAGCGGATCTCTCTCCCTTCGAGGGCATGTGCCTGTGTTGAAGAGGTGTGGGCTGGTAGAATTTACACCACTCTTGCAGTGAAATCTCTACTCAAAGAGCAAGAGATATTTGGGTGCTCCGGGAACGACCGCGGACAGGTTTGACCCCAGAGCCCCAGCGATGGTTGCCCATCTCACCAGCATCCCTTTTGCCCATTAATCCAAAGAACTGCTGAGGCTTCGGTCTCCGGGCGATTCTCTGCAGAAGATGCTCAAAGGGCTCCGGCAGCTCCTCCTGGGGGACAGACGTACGGACAGACGGCGTGTAGGCAACCAGATCGAGGCGCCCAGCAACTCCAGCCATGCCGGTGGTGCGCTCCAGCCCCGGGCGAGCCACGGCTGCCGCGGGGGGCCCTCAGCCCCGGGGCGGAAAGCCAGCTCCCCGGGGAGGCTAGAGGGGGCAGGCTCCCCACGCCGGAGCTAAGTGCGTTCCAGCCGGGGGCTCTCCCTCCCTTCGCCCACCCCTGCCGAGCTCGTGTCCCGCGCCGCCGCCTCCCGCGAGCCCGCCCCGGCGTGAGCCACAGGCGCGGCGGAATTCCGCTCCTTCCTCCCAGGGCCGGGACCCTCACTCCGCTGCCGCGTCGCCTCCTGACTTTGTTCTGTCTGTGGTGTGGGCTTTGGAGACCCCTTATTGCCTTGAATGCAAACAGGTGTGTGTGCGTGTGTGCGGGGGTTGGGGTGGGGGGCTTGAGACGGGGAAGGGTGACAACGCTTTACAAGCGACCTGCCACGCGCGACGTTCGCCGTTTCCCAGAGGCGCGCTCCCTCCCGCCAATGGCCTACGAGTCATCTAAAGGGGAACTTGCAACCGCGTCCTAGGGTCCGCACAATGAATGTCATGGTAGTTAGCTTCCCACCCGTTTCAGCCTGTCTAGCCCGCTCGCAGCTCGCCCGTGTCCCCTCTTCTGCCAGTGACCCGCGTGCCTCCTGCCCCTGCCCAGCGTTTTCCGAACGCCCTGGCAGTGCAGCTGGGCTAGAGCCCTCGACATCCCGGTTACTCGGGGATGACACCTTGTGAGGTTTTCTGCCTGCGAGGATCTTGGGCTCATCAGGGAAGGCATCACTCCAGGGAGTTCCTGGACCGGACGGGGCAGCCCTGGCGAAGGAAACTTGGATCGTGGGTGCAAAATCCCGTGCGGGACCCGGGGGATGGTGTCCCCTTTCATCCGCCCGCACGCCTCCACCGCCTCTGGTCGCGGTCGCGGTCCCTCCAGGCTAACTAGGATGCTATCGCGGGAGAAGGTGACAGTCACCAGATCCAGGAAGAATGGCGCGAGCCATCCCGGGGTCTTACCTTGATCTGGTCGCTGTCGGACCAGTCGGACCAATAATTCAGATCATTGTTGGCTCCGATTTCTTCTGCAAACAGTTGAGTGGAGACGAGAAAAAAGACTGCCAAGGCCAAGAGGATTTTCATGTTGAATTCCTGGGAAGAGTGTGGGGAGAAAAGACCGAGGAGAGAAAAATATATACACTGAGGTGGCTATGGAAGAATTGGGGCAGCAGGATTTTCAGTCCTACAATGGAACTCAGGCCCGGTTGAACCAAGATAAAAAGTGTGGGGGCTGAAGTCTCGCCTGTGCCCTTCTGGAAAGAGAATCACGCCCCAAAGTTTCTCAAATCCCCTTCTCGGGAATCCCTACTCCTCCAAACCAGGAGGCTCTGCAGGTGGAAGACAAAGAGGGGTGCTGGCGTTTGGGAAACCGGTATCCCCACTGTCCCTCGCCGCAGCGGCTGACCCAGAGCTGCCAGCCGCCACCTCCGACACATGCGTGGCGGGGACACACCGGCAGCCGCGGCTGGCACGGCGCCGGCACTTACCGCGACGGACAGGACCGCGGGTGCCTCCGGCTGCTCTGGGCGCGCTGAGCTCCCCGCGCTGCCGGTTGCCTTGGCGGAGGACGAGGTCCCGAGCGCGCTCTTTTGCCAGCCCAGGTCCTCGCAGTATTTATCCCGGGCTCGACGAGCCTCGCGGCCCACGTGACACTCTCCCCACGCGATTTTCTGCTCAATATTTAATTAGCCGCCTCCTCTCCTTTCGGCGTGATTGAGAGTTTCCGAGACGGTAACTCGTCGATGCCCCTAACATCTGGACCCAATTGGCTTCGAAATGACGCAATTTTAGGGAACTCGAGGTCTCGCCATCCAATCCCGAGCGGCCTCTCTTCCTCTCTCTGCAGATCTAACGCCCCCTCCCCTCTCCTTCGGAACAGGGTTGCATGACACCTGAGATTACTCATCAAAATCGAGCAAAGTGACTCATTCCTTGGACTTCGGCAACTTTTCCGTTCCTTAAGACGTCAGGATAAGTTGCACTTTGGGGGATGGCCAGATAACTTCAAGCATGAGGGCATCCTCAGGCTGAGGGGCTGGCCGGTTACTCACCTGGGACAGCGTGGCGCTGGTAACACCCAGGTTAAGGGTTCGGCTCCCCTTGCCAGCCTCCTCCCCCCAAATTCTCTTTTTCTCTGCATTTCCGTATTCCCTCATGACTGACTAGAATCAGGCTAAGAAAGGAGCATTTCATTTGGGGGGGAAACAGCATTTTCCCCCCTTCTATTTCTGTTTTCAGAGTGTCTTAAGTGTTTCTGAGTTACAGCATCTCTCCTAAATCAACTAGAATAGTGGCATTGCCTCAGCATTACAAAAGGATTTTCAGTCCCATAGTATTTCAGATGGTGAAAGCAGATTTGTTTACATTTTGGAGAAAGGTGAGTTTAACCGTGATGTTGCATGTAGAACTTACTCTTATTCAGCACCATTCTGCATATCTCTTGTTGGGAGCTGGCTGAGTCCTCTTTCTTGCCTTCCAGGAGCAGGGGTTGCAAGAGGACAGTTTTGCCAGTAAGATAGTGTACAGGGTCCTACCGGTATCACTAAACATCTCTACAAACCATTCATAGATTTCTCCTGTACATGAAAGTAAGTGTAGTGAAGATGCTAACAGCACAAAATTGTTAGACAAATAACATTTTTAAGAAACCACAGCTTTCTGTCAGCCCATGGTTGCCTTGCAGACATATTTCTTTCATGTCTAAATGAATTAAAGGATGTTGCATCTTTGGTGGACTAGTTTTCTCCCCTTTACTTACTAATATGGGTTGAATTATGCCCCCCCCAAAAGTTTAATGTATGGGAGGCTTGGTCCCCACTGTGACAGTGTCAAGAGTGTGGGAAGTCCTATTACGGTAATTGAGAGGTGGGGCCTTGAAGAGGTGATTAGATTGTAGGACCATGCTGCAGTGAATGGATTAATAATGGTGATCAGGGACGTGGTTCTGAGGGCTCTAAAAGGAGAGCACGTGAGAGGTTAGTCTCTCTGCTCCACCATTTTCTGCCATGTGAGACCCCTTGGTCACTGTTACCACCACCAAGACCGTCACCAGATGTGTTGCCTGGACTTTGGACTTCCCAGCCTATAAAACTGTAAGCAATGAATTTTGTTTTCTTTATAAATTAGCTAGTACCGGGTATTTTGTTATAAGCAACAGAAACAGACTAATACACTAAGTATTATATTTTTCAATTAATTATGATTTTTTGGTATACCACATAAAGGAAATAAATTTTTGCAACTCAATTAATCTAGTAATATTTTTTCCTCTGATATTGATTTTTCTTTCTTAAATAACCCTGAATTTTGAAATTCTAATGTATCTTTCTCATTTTTTTTAGGGCTAGCCTCTAAACATGAACATTTCTTTTGTTTTCAAAACTTTTTAAATGGGAAATTATGAACATATACAAAAGTAGAGAGAATCCGTTCACTTGGAACAATTTGCAAATTTCATATGCAACCCTTCCAATTTCCTCTCCGCTCATTATTTTGAAGTAAATCCCAGACACTTCATCTTTTCAACTATAAATATTTCAGCATGTCTATAGAAAAGGTAAGGATTTTTAAAACTAGAGACATAACCATGCCATTATTCCACCTAAAAACATAAAATAATTCCTTACATTAAACATTCAATGTCCAAATATTCCTCATTGTCTCATAATTTCTCCCCGCACAGTTTACTGGTTGAAATCAGAATTGTAATGCAGTCCGTACATTACAGTTGGTTCACAGGTCTTGTCTCAGTCAAGACAAGTAGCAAAGTGCCATGGACTGGGTGATTTATAAACAACAAAAATTTATTTTTCACAGTTCCGAAGGTAGGAAGTCTGAGATTAGGATGTCAGCATGGTTCTGGTGAGGACCGTCTTCCACGTTACAGACTGCTGTCTTGTCTCCTTGTTGTATACTCACAAGGCAGAAAGAGAGAGAGTTCTCTAGGGTTCCTTTCATGAGGGGACTAATCCCATTCTTGAGGGCTGTACCCTCATGACCTAATTACCTTCCAAATGCTCCACTTCCTAATACGACCACCTGTGGGGTTAGGATTTCGACATAAAAATTTGGGAGGGACATAACATTCAGTACACTGCATGTCTCTTAAATCTTCCCTAATCTATTGTTCTCTCCTCTCTTTCCTTTCTCTATAGCCGTTTTGTCAAGGTTGGTAAAGTGTACTATATTCTGCAGTTTGTTGATTGCCTTTTAACTTGTTCCCATGTCCTTTTTTTTTGGCAGCTGGCTGGTACAGGGATTGAACCCTCGAACTTGGTGTTATCAGAACCATACTTTAAACAGCTGAGCTAATCAGCCAGCCCCTATTTCCTGTTCATTGGTAGTTATATCTAGAAGCTTGATCTTATATGGTGTCTTCTTTCTTCTTTTCCTCCTCCTCCTCCTCAACAAGGCTGTTTACAGGTGTTGTGTAGTTCTGTTAGGAAGACTGGTTGTTTCTACTTTTGAGTTGTTTGCAGCCATTGATGGTCATTTTCCAGATCCATTAATTCATTCGTACTTCCAAAATAATACTATTCTGATTTTATCATCATTATTTATTTATTAGCTAGACTATTTCTTCCATATAAAGAGAAACTTTTTTCTCAACAACTATTTAGCTATTCCAATGCATGACTAATATAGGAAAGATGGAATGAATGCTTGATTACTTCCCTCTATTGGTAAATTAACGTCTTTAAATATGTCCCATTTTCTTAAAAAACTTAGGATTGTTTCTTTTAAAAATGTGCATTTAAACACATTTGAAATGTTTCAATTTATGAAAGGCGTTCTTCTAACTGATGCTCAAATTATCCCATTCTTGACCAGCAGGTGACTCTTCAAACTGGCTCCAGAGACTTGATATGCCTTTGATAGGCTTTGATGGCTTTCTTGATTTTGTATGACAAAATGTTTCAGGTCTAAGTTGTGTATTTCCTTCCTGAGACCCAGAATTTTCCTTTAAAGAGCCCTAATTTTCTTTGAATTAGAAATGATAATAACCTGGGCATTACCTAGGCATTATATGTGCATATTGCTATCGAATTCCTTGTCCCTTCAAGACCCTTTCAATGAATAGAGCTGATTAATGTGTGTGTGTATAAAATCATGGATGCATACTGACACTTTCTATTCAAATAAGAATATCATAGTGTTTACTTAGCCTAATCTATTTTGCATCTTTTTTTATACCAAAAAATCCTATTTCCCAGTAACATCAAATGATTATTTATTTGCTTTACCTCAATATGCAATGGCAACATGATCAACAGATTAAGGAAACAGATTAAGAGTTTTCGTTTGTAGTGTTTTTTAATCTTTAGGGCATATCACACTAGAAATTAGTCGAATTGCTGTGTTTTAAAGTCACTTTAAAAGTTCTTCTATGTATGGTTATGCTATCAACTCTTATACAGGTAGATTCATTAGCTCATTTGGCTCTTGAGTTTTAGGGATTGCTTTTTAAACTTAATTTTAGAATTGTGTAAAATACACAGTTCCAAACTCAAATATTAAAAACATAATATATTCAAAGAAGTGTATCTTCAATCCCTGTCTCTCCATCAGTCTTCTCTTTAGTAACCATTTTTTTTTTTAGGTTTTTCTTTATTCTTTCATTGTTATTATTTTGTTATTTTAACATAAGAAAATATGTATTCATATCTCCCTCCACTTTGTAAAATTCCGTACGTAAAGTCGGGCATTATAGATTAACTTTTTTGTTTCTCAGTTGCTGATGTGGTTTATGAGGTAACAATCAAGACAGCAATTTCATAATTTCTTCCCTATAAGCTTAGTGTAACCAGTTGTATAACTATCCAGATGCCATATGTTGTAAATGTGCTGCAGTACATAAAATAAAGGCTATTTCCTAGAATTGAGTAATAAACAATGAGATAAAAAAGTTGATCCAAAGAATACATTTCTCACTCTTTCTGTGTCGTTCATTAATTTCTAACTTAGTGCTACTAGTTAAGATTATGCACTTTCTGACACACTTTCTCCTTAAACATTGTAGGATTTGGGATATTTAAACTATTTACTACCTGTTTTATTTTCTAGAACATCAAATTTATGAAAATATACATATTAATAAAATACATATGTTCCTAATGCATATGTTTGCAAATTAAAAACCTGCAGAAAAGCACAAAGAAAAAACTTACCATCTTCTGTTTTCTCATCACCCATGCAAACCACTATTAATATCTTGGTATACTGCTTACAAATTTCAAAGGGAAAAAAGCTACCTGATTGCTTTTATAGAATAAGACATACTCTTTATAAAAAGTCAAGTAACACAGAAAAGTACAATAATATATATTCAAAAAAATTACCCTAAATTCCAAAATGGCTATGCTTAACATTAAGTGGACATGATTGTAAATATCTTTCTATGCATACTTTACTATTAGAAGGATAGAGCAATTGACAGATAAATAAAAGTTACAAAAATAGGATGAGACCCTAGGAGGTATTTTTAATAAAAAATGTTTATATTTTATTTGATTTTAGTAGAAGAAAAATAAAACTAAAGTGAAAAATGTTTCTTCACCACAAGATTTTTTTTTTCCCCATAAAAGTACTGACTAATGTTAAAAAGCAAGATTTCAGCATAAACATTAAGAGGCTAACATTTAAAAAATAGATATTTACATAATATTAATTAATTCCCTGTTTTGAAAGATGAGGATATTAGCACTCAACCTTT